GTGTGTGTGTGTGTGTGTTTCTGGTAAATGTCAGCGGTGTGTCTCCTGGGCCTGAGAGACGGGTTAGTGACAGCAGAACAATGGCTGCTGGAACCACTGAGAAACACAGCTGCTGTGAGTGCATGCTTGGATCTGTCTTCCGTTTAGCCATCAGCAAGCATGTTAAGGCACAACTTCACACATATGCACACGCACACACATGGAAAAATGTAGGGCCGGTGCTCTGCGGACACACGGGGTAATCCTCAGATTTGATGGGGGATCATCGGAAATGTGGATGGCTTAGTCAGGGCTGTCAGTCAGTGAGAGCCCCTGTCCACTAAAAACTGGCCAAAGAGTACTGAACACTTGTGTTACCAATGTTCCTGCCCCGTAAGCCTCAGTTTTCAAATTGTAAAGACTTGGTTGAAGATTTCGGGTACAAAAAGTCCTTTCACATTTTAAATGATTGGAAGTGGAAAGTTTTTCTTCACCAAACAACTGAGGCTTCACCATGTGGTAAGTGTGCAAAATCTGTGATATGGATCATATTTACAGTTTATACATGCCTCTTTTCAGACATGACTTCCAACAGAGCCAAACTTTCTAATCAATGCATGAAAAGAAGCAAAGGAATCCATAATTCATAGAAAAAAACACAAAAAATATCTTTCAAAGTGAATGAGAAGTAGCCATTGGGAAGGCAGACATGTGCGTCTGTAAAACCCTTTTGTTCCTGTCGCAACTGTGTTTGTCATGGCTTCTTCGTATCCTAGTCTAGTCGTATGGTATCCAGACTCAATTGAAACGGCTGTGTGTGGAAATAGAAAGTCATATGTCAAAGATAAGGAGCAAAGATAAAATGAAAATAATGCAAGAAAAAAAGGATTGTTTCCTTAATCGTCCTTAGAAACATGAACATCAGTTTCAACAAGTTGCGCCTTTTCCCTCTTATGTTTTACTCTTTGGTGGCTGAGAATGCTTGTATTGTACATATGTTGATGTAACATCATATTTCCATATATAGTAGTAGATGGAAAAGCTGCATACGTTTGTATCTTGGCATCTAAGTTCAACATCAATCACTTATTCTCTGTAGGACACAAACAAGCATAACTCCAGACCATTGGAGTCTTGAGCACACACACACACACACACACACACACACACAATCATAAAGCAGGTCTGCAATCTAGCTGCAGGCCTGCCCAAACTAAGGGATTCATTTAGGAGTTGTCAGAAATCACTTTACTCACAGTAAGCACTATTGGCATGTTCTTTTCTCCCTGCACAGCGATGCACCCCTCCCCACCTTCACACTCTTCTCCACCAGCGACTCCTTCTTGCTCTTACAGAGTAAATCTCACCAACAGTAGGGGACGGCCTGCCGATCTTTGTTGTATTTGCATACATGGTTTGTGTGTTTGTGTTGTTTGTCTGTTGGGGTCTCTGTGTGTACTAACGGCTAAAAGGGATCGGATGTGCTGATGAAATATTTGCTTTGGTGATAAGGAGGCACAGATGAGGCATCGATCAGCGTTCATTAAACACCCACAACTGCGATGACACGCATTCATGTTCGCACACTGGCCCAGCCGACAAACACCCAAAAAATGTCCACACACAATTTGTATTTATTTGAACTCATGGCAGGCCCTCATGCATTGGTATTGACAGCTGACTTAAAATGCTTGTTGTCGGTGGACTTATCCATTAAGCTGTAACACGTCTCTCTCTCTCCGTATAGACACGCCGACTGGCCGCAGCCTTAAGCAGTGATTATGGTGTTGGGCAGTGGGAGCTGGGGGCTGTACTGTCATTAGTCTGGTTAATCAGAGCCTTGCTCCAGGTTAAGCTCCGCAGCCTCAAGAGAAAGGCTGATGAGCTGAGAGCCGTGCCCAGCCTACAGTTCATGGGTCTGGGCTCATGCATCTCTCCTGGCTCCTACCTGTTCCAGCCAGTAATCTATAACTCTCTCCCAGAGCACGGCGACGAGGCTCAGCCTCCTGGCCAACACTGACACATGATGCATAATAATGAGACACACACGGAATGACACGCTGTCACACACACTTCACACACACACACACTTACCATTGAGCCAGTCCACCAAGTTTTTGAATTAGCTCTGCTCAGTTTTCAAGAGCCAGACGTGACCTTGTTCGGGTAACCGATGTGATTTAATATCTAAATGTTTCGCTACCCCGTCTTTGGAGTACAATAATAACCAGCTCAGCAGAATGGGTGCATAATGACCACAGGGACTGCTGGGTTTTCAAACGGGAACCACCCCATCTGACACACACTCAAACACAAATTCCCACAAGGCCTGAAGGGTCTAAGCAAAGCTCTGGAGAGGAGTATGTGAGCCAGGTGAGCTTCCTATATCCCAGTTTCCCCTGTGAGCTCATTACCCCCAATCATAACCACTTCCCTAAGCTTGCTTCACACACTCCATCCATCGACACCTACCCACACACAAATTGCACCCTCCATCAGAGTTGCTGAGAGCGTGCATGTGCGTGCCGCTGGATAAGTGTATGTGTGTTTAAGGGACAAGGAAGGTCGGAGAGCCCCGTGAGCCCATGACTGCTCCCTGTGGACTCTGCAGAGGGGGGACAAGCGGGGGTGAGAAGTTAGTGGAGGGAGGTTAGGGAGTGTGTTCTCAGGTGATGAAGAGGAGGCCCGGGTTTTAGTTCGGGGCTCCTGCGTTGCGCTTTTGTGGTGTGTGACCCAGATGGGTGGCGAGGCAGACAAAGAGGAAGCCAGCGAGAGAGATAAAGAAAAAGCTTTTCATTAAAAATAAAAATGAGTGCATGCTGCAGACACAAGAAGGACCCCAGAGAACTACAGAATGGGATGAGACAACAAAGAGCCCCATCATCAGTTTAG